GGACTTTATTTTCTTCAAGAATTTAATTATTTTTCTAAAAATTTACACAAAATCAAAGGAACTAATGTGTTGCTTTATTTTTTTACGCAAAAATAACATTAAAATTTGTGCTCCATAACTAAAAAGAAAATACTATTTTTTTGGTTGAAAAAGAAAGTACTCTTTCTACAACATGAAAATAAAGTACTTTTTTTTACATCCCCTCGCATTATGAGTTGGAATACGGGATAGTATCCCGGAAGATCCACTGGATATTTAAATTTGGGACCACAGGATGGTATCCTGGAAGATCCCCGGTTGTTATCCTTGTGTCGAGTTGTATCTCTTTCTGTGCTTACTTTGCCTCTGCAGTAATTGTTGTTGTCCTTTACATCCTGCGTTACTTTTACTGTTGTATTTATTTATACTGTTTATTTCTACACTTTTGAACCTTATATTTTATTTAACCTCAGTAAGGCCCTTACCTTCCTCGTCACTACCCGACCGAGGTTAGACTTGGTACTTACTGAGTACCGCTGTGGTGTACTCATGCCCTTTTTGTGCATGTTTTTCATGTGCAGATCCAGGTACGTCGCTAAGTCCTATCACCCTTGAGGCGAGGTGACTGCTCCAGAGACTTCGAGGTATATCTGTCGCGTCCGTATATCGAGGAGTCCCTTTCTATTTTCTCTTTTATGTATTAGCCCTTCTGTATTTCTTTTCTTTGTTAGATATTCTGGAGTTAGACAATAGTAGACATTCAAAGGCTTGTGGTTTCATGAGATTCCAGGTTTTGGAAAAATGTATTAGTTTTTGAGAGTTGATATGGTGTATGCCGAGCGACACTTTTAAACGCTATTTTACTTCACTATTTTGATTTTTAATTTTTTTCTTCCGCAAATTGGTTTATCTTCTGCATTTTAGGCCTACCTAGTCTCTACTAGGTGCTGTCACGATGGTTCACGGAGGGCGAACCGGTTCATGACACAAAAGAACAAAGCCCACGCAAAAATTATCAAATTAACTCAAAAATTCTGAAATTGGTCTAATCCAACCCCGTGCCCACGTCTCGGAATTCGATAAAAATTAAACACTAGAATCCTTAACCTCTTACGAGTCTATACAAACCAAAATCTTCAAAATTAGACCTCAAATGACCCCTCAAATCCCCAATTTAAACCCTCCAATTTTAATCCCTAATTTCCCAATTTTCACCCTTAATCTCTTGAATTTTCATGTTTAATCAACTCAAATTCACCATAGATACGAGTATTAAGTTGAAAAATCTTACTTCAACAAGTTTCCCCTTGAATCCCTCTTCGAAACCCTTCAAAAGCTCTAATCCCGTCTCAAAAATTGTGGAAATGGGCAAAAATTCGCGAAGGTTTAGTTTATACCTTCTGCCCAGGCATTTCTGCACCTGCGGCCCGAATCACGTTTCTACAGACCACATTTGTGGTTTTTCATTAATTTCTCAGGATCCCATCTGCGCCAAGGCTCTACACCTGCGGTCCCACATATGCGCCCAACACACCGCACCTGCGGTTCTTCTCCTGATGGCCAACTTCCGCATCTGTGGTCTCATCCACGCACCTGCGGTCCCCAATTCGCAGGTGCGGATATGACAGAAGCAGCAGCTGAAGCTGCTCAATTTCAAGTCCAATCTTTCCGACAACCTTCTGAATTCATCCCGAGGCCCCTGGAACCTCAACCAAAAATACGAACAAGTTGCATATCATCATTCAAACTCATACCAACCCTTGGAACACTCAAAACAACGTCGAAACACCAAATCACCCTCGGATTCAAGCCTAAGGATTTCTAAACTTTCGAATTCCGCAATCCAAAAACCTATCAAACCTCATACGAATGATCTAAATTTTGCACACATGTTACAAATGACACAACAGGCCTACTCCAATTTTCAGAATTTCATTCCGGCCGCGATATCAAGATTTTCACTGCCAACAAGAAAATGCTAAATTTTCAATTTCGCCAATTCAAGCCTAAATCTATCACGGACCTCCAAATTATATTCCGAACACGCTCCTAAGTTCAAAATCACCTAACAAAATTATTTGAACCATCAGAATTTACATACAAGAACTTCTACACATAAGTCAATATCTGGTTAACTTTTCTAACTTAAACTTTCAAATAAGAGACTAAGTGTCTCATCTCGCTCCATGACCATTCCGAACATAGAATAACCAATACGATATGATGAAATATAGCTAAACAACATATAAAAAAGCAAAACGGGACTGTAACTCATGAAACGATCGGCCGAGTCATTACAGATTCATTATATTTAATTCTTAATTTTGCTTTCTCTATCAAAATTGATGGATTAACACATTAAAGAGTTCACTAGAATTAAGGATAATACCTCTTCTCACCTGCCTAATCTCGCTATATTTTTATTTGTAAAAAATACAAATATGTTCTTTTTTTCAATAAAAGTACAAATATCTGTTCTTGTTTATACTGAAGTTTTTGAACAAAAGCTCATGGAAAAAGCTGTTTAATTAAGAACAAAACTTAAGCACGTCTTGGTATGAACATTGAGAAAATGAACTAAATTTAACTTCAGCATGCATTAAATAAAATTACACAATGCAGGAGAAAAACTTCAGCTCGTTTTTTTTCCTAAAGCTTTTAAAAATGAACTAAAATGCTAAAGTTGTTGGAAAAAGCTCATGACAAAACTATTGACCAGAAAAAAAGCTTGTTTATACTCAAGTTTTCAAACAAAAGCTCATGAAAAAAGTTGTTTAATGCAGGACGTAACTTCAGCAAATAAACTAAATTTAATTTCGGCATGCATTAAATAAAATTCACTAGTAAATTACACAGTGCAGGAGGAAAACTTCAACTCGTTTTTCTTGAAGTATTGAACGCAGGACATAACTTCAGCATATTTTAGTGCTGAAGTCTTAGCAAATGAACTAAAAAACTTCAGCTTGATTGCACTGCAAGACAAATACTTCAGCATTTTTGGTGTCACGTTTTAGCAAAATTATATAAAAACTCCGCTTGTTTAGCAAATAAACCAAAAACTTCAGCATGTTATGCAGTACAAAACTTCAACATATTTGAATTTTTAGCTTTGACGTTAAATTAGGTTTAACGTGAAGAATCTTTTGCTTCATTTTAGAATTCAACGTGAAACAAATTTAGAATGCAAATTCATTCGTCAGTGAAATCTATCAGTGAAGAGTTAGTGTTTCATCCGTCAAACAACTTCATGCAAGAGTGAATTATGAAAATAATTATAGAAACATATATCATGAAATTAATCAGTTTCAAAAACTATTTTGAATTCTGAAGATGAATTGGAATACTTACAATGTATTTTATAATTTGGAATTTGGAATTTGAATTTGGTTCAAATTTCTGATTTGCGAGAGGAGATTTGAGGAGAGACGGAATGATAGAGGAGAACCGTAAATTGATTTATGCGTGATACATCTTTTATATGTTTTGTCAGGGGTATAATGGTCATATTATTACGGTTTTTTTAGTTTTTAAAAATATGGTATAGGTTAAAAGGTGGCATAAATATAGGGTATAGCTGCAAATCACCCATTTTTCTCCTGGTTCACTACATGACCAAGGTTCGAGACCGTAATGCCAGCGCTTTCTTTCAATTAAAGATAGATTAGTATCTCTTGTATTTAGTGCTAAATTTGCTTTTTTCTTTATCTTTTCGAAGTTCATGAACAATTATGCACTAGTATATAATAGTCAACTTCTACACAAAATAGTCTCAAACTCTTTTTGAGAAATATCGTCCATCGATTCAACGAAAGCGATTGAGACTCTGCTTGGACTGCTTTACAGACCTTCAATCTTGATCTTATTAGACTAAGTTTTTGATATTTTTGAACATTCTTTTGGTCACTGACTCAAAGTAACTTAGTTTCTAAGGAGTTAACACGTCAGATTTTATCGTTACTAGCTGACATATCTATATCAATAGTCGTGCCCCGCTCCACTCAGATCTTGAGTCCGCCTTGTGTAGCACGTAAAAATATTTTCCTGTTAATGCAGAACGATAAGACTACAACATAGGACTCTGTCTGTCCGAATACTATGTTGAATTACATGAATCACATTATCCAAAATATGAAACTATTAGAGAAAAACCAATTTATTTACTTCTTTTAGATTTTCAACAAAGAAAACTTTGAATAATGATGAATTAAGCAACAACAAAAAATATCAAAGGGATCACAAAAATAATGATGAATTAATGCATGCATTTATATGGTTAAAGACAAAATTGTTCTTAAAGTCCCTTAAAAGCTAAAGAATATGGAGGACATTTTTGTAAGCAACTAATTTTCTTAAAAATTATGCTATGTATTTTAATTTTTAATACACCACAATAAACATTGTATAAGAAGTAATCTCTGCGTAACTAATGCTTGCATTACTAACCCATGCATTATTAATCCCTGCATTACTAATACACCTTATTTAGCATTATTCTTATATACCCTACCAAACAACTCCTTAATGCTTTTTCATGTCAAAGGTGCAGAAAAGCGGAGGACAGAGCTTGTTTATTCTAACGTTGAGAGCTGAATCCTGATGTGACTTACTTGAAGTCTAAAGTTAGAAGGGGTATCTTGAAGTCTAAAGTTATCTAAGAGAAAAGAGTTAATGATACCATGGACAGAATGTTGGATGAGCTATGAAGTCGACACATCTTTGACATCCTGCCAACGTTGAATATTCATACTGCACCAATTGTTTCACAAGATCGTCATGGATATACATGCATAACTGAGGTTCCTTCGAATCTAGGTTGAGTCAATTGTTCTACATTATAACCTATTTGATTTTGAGAAGTGTAGTACTGTCCTTTTTTTGTATGTAGAAACTGGTTATCCTTTTCTAATAATTCCACACTCAAAATCATTTCGTGAATAGATTAAACAAACAAAAAACAGCTATTCTCCTCACATACACCCCCATAAAAAGAAATTACTTCAGATTAAGCAGAACTTAAAATTTTAGAAAACAGAATTTTTAAATATTCGTAAATAATGATCTTTTCTTCCAAGAGGCATATTTTTAAAATCAACTTGAACTTGGAGAGAGTCACATCCTGTGATATCTTCTACTTCTTTTTTAATGTTGAGAGCTGAATCCTCAACTGACTTCATGCAGCCCCTCAATCTGATCAACTTCAGTGTTTGGATATCCGCGAAGCTAGACGGGATCTCTTGAAGCTTCTCACAACGACGTATAACCAGTTTCTCAAGCACGGGAAAGGATGCCTCTGAGGAGCGCCATTCGGTCATATGAACACCCCTTAAGTTCAAATATTTGAGTGCTGGGAACTTGTAATCACCCACATCCCAACATCTGATATCTTTATCCTTGAAGAGTATTCGACGTAGTTTGAGTCTCTCAAGATTTCGCAGTCTTGCAATATTTGAAACAACTTTTTCTGTTAGGATAATGCTATGAATGGACAAATCCTTTAGATNACTGAGAAATCGAAGAAAATATGGATCACTGTGGAGCTTAAGCTGCCTAACCACTTGTTCATCTCGAGTTGTTACCACTACTCTGCTTCCATCTTCACCATGTGGGAAAGATAATCGCAACTCTTCCCATGCCTTAACTTCCCATATATCGTCTAACACGATGAGGTATCTCTTGCGCATNGTCTTCCCATGCGAATTTAATTTCCTTGATATCCACATGCCTTAGCTTCTGCATTTTCCAAATAGCAGCAGGGGATATCCTACTGTTTAATGAAATAGGTTGCCACCCCACCCGCAAAGTTTGTAGATCGAGTAGGTGTGATACCCACGGGAAACAAAATTCTTGGGTATGAATTGCAAGATACCTCAAGTGAGTTACTGCTTGCATTGCCCTAGCCCAAAAACGTCCCTCCAAGTAGACATTCAACAAATCCAACACCCGAATAAGTCTAATGCAATCAAGTAAAAGGACATGATTTGTCAAACTCAGGTCCCATTTATAGAGTTTTGGATGAGCAATGAACTCAAGAGACCTACCATGACATTGAGCAAATGATCCTACTTCACTCAACTCCGCCAACATTGGAATTTTATCCAATGAATATTCATGCTCCACCAACTGCTTGACCAGATCGTTATGAACATACATGCATAACCGAGGTTCCGTTGCACCTAAAGATTGGTCTGGATTATATGGGATTATGAGCTGCATAAACTTTTCTTTTGCAAGTTTTCTCCAGCAAAACTCACGCACTACATCATGAAGAGTGCAGTACTTTATCTCACCATTATCTCTCCTTTTAGAAACCATTACAAGGCTTTTGTTCGCTAGATCATTCAAGAAATTTTTAGATGCTTCCTCCAAGTTATCTGTATCCGAATTCTGTACAAAATTTTCAGCTATCCACAACTTAAGTAAAATAGAAACTGGAAAATTGTAGTCTTCTGGAAACAATCCCATGTAAAGAAGACAAGCCTTTAAGTGATCTTCCAGATGGTCGTAACTTGATTCTATTATCTTCATGCTTTGCTCTTCTAAAGCATGGGAACTTAATTCATTTGCGACCTTAAACCACAAAGAGGCTTGCCTTTTCTTTNACAAGCCTTTAAGTGATCTTCCAGATGGTCGTAACTTGATTCTATTATCTTCATGCTTTGCTCTTCTAAAGCATGGGAACTTAATTCATTTGCGACCTTAAACCACAAAGAGGCTTGCCTTTTC